TATCAATTCTTGTGGAGGCTTGGATGCGGAGACCTCAGCAACAAAGTTGGCAAGAATCTGCCTTTGATGGAAGTACGGGGTTTGTATCTTATTTCGAACTCTCCGAGCTCCACAGCCCACTTTGTCACCCTCCCAAATTTGTTGGCTTTACGAAGGATGGGCTTGAGGGGCCGATCGGTCAAGACTTCTATAGTATGTGCCTGAAAGTAATGTCTAAGTTTTCTCGTCGAGACTATCAATGCTAGTATGAGCTTCTCCATCGGCAAGTACCTGGCCTCGGCATCAAGAAAGGTTTTGCTCACGAAATAAACAGGCCTTTGCACCCCCTCGTGTTCCCTGACCAGAGCCCCATTAACTGCCCCTTTCGATACAGATAAATAGAGGTTCAACACTGCTCTCTTTGTTGGGGACAGACAAGGTGAGGGGGGATCTCAGGTACTCTTTAATCCCCTTAAAGTGCTTGGTCACATTCCTTATCCCAAGTCCCTTTTGTTGCTCAATTAAGCATGGCAAAGAATGGTTTGCACCTCTCCGAGGACTTGGAGATGAATCAGTTGAGGGCAACTAGCATTCCAGTCAGTTTCTAAATGTCTTTAGTAGTCTTCAGCGCTTGGATACTCTGCATGGCCTGCACCTGCTCGAGATTGGCTTTTATGCTCCTATGCGTGACCAAGTACCCCAAAATTTTGCCTGAGCTTACACCGAAGGCACACTTTGAGACATTAAGCTTTAGCCCATATCTCTAGAACATGGTGAACACTGCTCCGAGGTCCCAAAGATAATCAGAACCCTTTTTGTTTTTCACTAGCATATCATCAATATAAAACTCCATGGTGACACCGAGTTGTTGCTTAAAAATCTTGTTCATCAACCGCTGATAAATGACACTAGCATTCTTCAGCCCGAACGACATTACCATGTAGCAATAGATCCCTCAGGGCATAATGAACGTCGTCTTCTCTTGATTTGATTCATGCAAGGGAATTTGATGATAACCCGCCCGAGCATCCATGAAGGAGATACGTTTATGACTCGTGGTAGCATCTACAAGCTGATCGAATTTTGGCAATGGATACTTGTCCTTGGGACATAATTTGTTCAAGTTCGTGAAATCCACGCAAACTCACCATTTCCTCCTTTTTTCTTCACGCACACCGTGTTGTACAACCATTGGGGGAACTGTACTTCTCTGATGGAACCCGCCTTTAACAACTTATCCACCTCTTCGTCTACTGCGTGATGGGGGTCCGTTCTTCGAGCTTTTTGTCGTACGGGTTTGAAAGACAGGTCCACATGAAGCCGATGAGTCATTACCTCGACACTTATTCCCGCCATCTCAGCTTGGGTCCATGCAAAAATATCAGAATTTTGGCACAAGAAGCTTATCATGTCAGACTTCTCGGTGTCGCCTAGTGACGCCCCTATTAAAAAGAATCTCTCCTCATCCTCGGGTTTCAGAAAAACTTTGACCAGGGTCTCCGTGGAATGATCGGCTAGTTTTGTAAGGGGGTCATCCACACCAGGCTGACCAAATTGTGATTGCTATTTAGCCACCACTGTCTTGGGATCACGCTCTTGAGCTTGGTCACAGACCCCCAGTCTTTACTGCGGTGTAAAAGCAACTTTTTGATGACGTCTGATCGCCAAGAATCTCCATGACACCCCTCAGAGTGGAAAACTTTATCTTCTAATGATTGGACGAATGCACCGTCTTCATCAAACTTGTAGACTAAAAGTGTGATTACCAAAGCGTTGTCATGCAGGAGCACTAACTCACTAAGGTCGGTATCGGAGAAGTGGATGACCTCGGCGTCTGGCCGTGGCCTTTTAGACGATTGTTCCTCACCCCTACTTTCCTCCACTTTCACTACCAGTGAGACCCTTTGGTGATCGGCCCGGAGGGAATTATACGTTGGTCTCTCAACTATACAAGCGTGAATTACTTCAATCACGGTTGTTGCTTCCTAAGACACGTCGACAACTCCTCCCGCAGAGCCTCTAACAAGTATCTTTTCAATAAACTCCCCGAGATGCCCATCTTAGACTAATTGCTCGAGGAAAGACTTGTACACCCTACAATCTTCAGTCAAATGCCCCACAGATCGATGATAAGAACAATGAGAAGTCGAATCCCTCGATAATGGGTCTCCTTGTATCTTCGGCGGCCACCTAAAGAAAGGTTTTCTCCTTTATCTTGTGCAGCATCTTATGAAGACCGTGTTCACCCCCTAAAAGGACAAACGACTTGGAGTAGGGTTTGGCACCCCTTTCCTTGTAGGCACTTCCCTTTTCCTTTTCCTCAGCGCTAGGGCCTTACCCTCGGGCACCATGGACTCTTCCTCCACCCTGGCGTACTTATTTATCCGAGCCATCAGGTCCTTCATATCTATCGGGGCTCTCTTAGCCAGAGATCTATATAGGTCGGTGTCTCGAGACAATCCCAGCCAAAATGTCGCTGCAGCCATGACTTATAAGCATCCATCGACCTCGTTAACTTCCTCCCAGTACCTGATTGCGTACCGCTGAAGGGACTCTCCACTCCTCTGTTTGAGTGTCAGCAATGTGCCGATGTCCTTCAGCCTTTTAATACTAGTAATGAATCGAGCTACAAAAAACTCGTTCATTTGCTTTTAAGACCTAATACTCTCAGGGGCCAAGCTCTTATACCACCTCATTGTAGTGTCCCCCAAGCTCATAGGGAAAACTCGGCACAATAGTTTTTGATCGATGTCGTAAAGGGACATCAATTGTTTGTACTATCGTAGCTGGCTCTTAGGATCCGTTCTCTTGTCATAAACCTTGAATCGGGGGATGGTGAACTTCTTGGGCATCTTAGTCTCCTAGATCGCCCAAACGAACGGGGAGATGAATTGTTTATCCTCTTCATCCCCCTCGGGGTAGGGTCTTCGGTGCTTGGCATCTAAGCATGCTCGAAGGTCCTCTCGGGGCCTTATTTTTCTAGGCCCCCTTGCAGTGGACTCCATGTGGGACTCGATCACCACGACACCCTTCAATAATCTATGATGGAGATCCCACCGATAGGCCTGCCCGGCAATGATCCTATTCTGATTTTTCCTCAGGAGCAGGTATTCCCCAACTTCAGGGGTTACTCTTCTCGCCTGTGCACCTGTGTAAGCTCTTCCCAGGGACACGTAGCTTTGCGCCCCTGGAATCACCTTGGCTGAAACTTCGGTCTTCACGCTTGCTACTCTGCCAACTGGCACTCCCCATTTGCTTGAAATCATTAAGCCAATTCTACACCTTGGCATTATCCTTCTCAAGTCACTTAAGGCAATTCCCCATCCCTTTTTCCACCAGCTCAACGATTTCACGAACCAAGAGGTCTTGCCCCCCAAGGCCTTGATCCATGGGGAACGTTCGTTGTGAGGCATGCTTGCCTCCCTCTAACTGGTTCAAGGAGTCTGACTCAGTGACTGCTGGGAGCTGGGTAGTTTATGCGTTTCTCACACGTAAGTTTCCCCCCTCACCATGATGCAATCGCTACATTCCCACAGATGGCGCCGACTTGCATGGAAGAACTCCTGCAATGAATAGAGATAGCGATCCTCTTGATGAAAAACCTGAAACAACCAAAAGGTCAGAAAAGGGGCCGGGTGAACACCCAACTTATCTCTTCCGAAGCTTAAGTCAGTAGGCATTTGGAAGCTTGAGCACAATGTTTCTCTTTCTCAATTTAGCTTGAGTACCTGTGTTCATATGTCTGAGGAGTATTTAGACCTGAACTAGCAATGAGTGCAAGGGTTTGGAGTCTCATCTCAACATTTAATGACTTACACTCTTATCCATGCATAATGAATGTTCTCCACTCAGATTCTCGTGATTGGTTCACTTGGGCGATAGGTTGACTGCTCGAGGCATGCCGAGAACTTATGATCCTAGCCCCGATTATTTAAGTCCATCTGATCGGTGCTTGACACCTACTCTCGAGTGTTTAATGCTCGGGGAACAATACCTCGGGGTATCCCGAGGACATCTGGTAGGCGTAATGACCATTAATGCTTTGCAATTATGACTGTCGATTTGGGTCTCGAGGATGTAGAGGCTCATTAATAACCCTGTCATAGACACTCAAATCCTCATTAATGAGCTATTATATCTTCTTAAATGCTGGTGTCAGTCTGTATACTCGACTCCTCTTAGTGATTACTCCTCGGCGCCATCTCTCGACACCTTTTGAGTTCCATAACGGCTACATCTTTTCACGTGTCGATTTGAGGGCTATTGAGCCCCTAAAGTCCTGTCACATTTTATCCTAAAAACTTTTTTGACTGAAAAGAGTAATATTAGTGAAAGGTCATTACAAGTGATTTGTGTTCAAGGCTTCTCTTTTTCCTCACCCTTGTGTACCATTGTCTCCCCATATACTGGTTATACAATTTTAGTTCCTTCCATAGAGAGTTTGAATATACTGGTGGTAAAAAAAAAACCCTGATTTTCCAGGTTAGTATGTTTCAGCACTGGGAATTAGAGTTCCTTCATACCAGGTCAATGGTATGGAGTTGATATTGTTAGATCAAAAGTGCAAGGAACACCCTTAAGCAAATGAGTTTGTTTTGTGTGTTATGGTGTGTGAGATGAGGTACATAAGAAGCCCTTGGAGAAGAAGACATCGGATGACTTGAGTCACTAATGATGAGGTGATTAGAGAATGAAGTGGACCAAGTAAATAATGGGTAGGCATAGAACGGGGGGTTAACTTGATAATTTCATATTAGATAGTTTAATGGGGGTGAGGTTCGATATTTATCGGGGTGGAGATAACACCATCCTTCACTATTTACCATCACCAATCCATGCTAAAAGATTGTTTATGCTGTCACCAGCAGATGCACAGTAAATGAGCTAAAAAGAGTTACCTGGGCAACCTATGACAATAAAATGATACAAAATTCCCAAGCAGATGGATTCAGAACATCCCTAAATTGAATGGATTGAGTAGATATTCCATCCATCATCATGAGTGTCAATGCATCCGTATCTTATGCTACTCTATCAATTCTCCCTAAACCCTTCCCCCTCTCCTCTTGTTCTTTTCCTTTGTCCCTGACAAAGGCAGAATCACTGGTCATCCAGTCAAGGATCAGAACGGCACAAAGTTATAACTGGGCAAAAAGAGTCACTATGTTTAATTGTTAGTATAACTGTGTCCACACTCAGTTTCCAACGAAAGACATACATTTCGAACAAACTATATGTACACAGTCCATCTTAAGTCCAAACCTTTCACCCCACACCAAAATGGCCAACCTTTTTGAGGCGTATCCTTACTCGTAGGAAAGATAATGATAGACATGTCAGACGGAGTCACTTTACAACATAATAAAAAGCAAACCCAAAAAGAGAAAGAACAAAGGAAATCTGCTCATTATGGTATAGTTAACCAGTAAATCGATTTAGTTTCATTAAGCGAAGAAGTAACAATTTTGTATGATTAATTGTCATGGATGCCACTGCAACCTGTGGATATTTCTTATGGGAGGACCTAACAAAGCAAGTAGAGATCTCTTACTACATAATTTAGGCCAATAAATGCTACTTTTCTGCCCATGAATCAACACAGGTGCTTTTATACCAGGCACTAGTTAAAACTCCAGATTGCCAGTAATGATGAGGTTCAATTGGTAAATTGTTTGACCATTTCGTAATCTCTTTAACTAGAAAATTTATTATGTAATATATAGACAAGGTGTCCATAAGCCCCCCTTATTTACATATAGAGTAATATTTTTCTTTTATGTTTTAATTTGTCACTTTCTACATTATTCAGAACTAAGGCCAGCAAAAAGTAGGCTGCAGTTTATGAACATGAAAAGCATTCATTGTGGCCAAAAAACAAAAAAACCCGACCGCCGAGATGAGAACGGCCCCAGTGCATTCTTTGCTTCCAACACTTTGCTTACTAACAGTTTCCACTTTGCCTCATCTTTCTTGCTCTGCTGCTGCATTTTCTCCTTGAAATGCCTGAAAGCAGAGGAGGGGAAAAGACATAATTACCACCACCACCAGCATTGAATTCACCACATTCAAAGCAAAATAAAGAATAACAATACTAATTCAATTTTCTGATGAAATGAATTATAAATGTACTTTCTGGAATCAATCTTTCGAAAATAAGAGTCAGATTAACTACTCTGTTCTTGGTCACAAAACAAATGATATTGTCATCTTTCACTGATAAGATCAATTGTCATACTTTATTCACAATCACATGCTCTTCTGATGCTTTACTAAAGATAGTACACAACTACACACCAAAGATCCATCTAGCACACAGCCACACACATATAGGGTAAACACCACCATCCATAAAAATATATATAGGCCATGTCCAAAAACACTAAGGGGGGTTGGTTTTTCAAGCACAATATCCCCTCTTGGCATCAACATGAGTTGACCCCTAGTTGAGTAGGATAATATCGATACTACCAAGACATGTCATTTCAAAGTAGCACTTGATATCCAGTAGGATATTTTAAGATGTGAAATGGCAAATGACACAAGACCTTCCATTCTCGTAGATGTAACTTGACAGTTGCAGGTTTACATTATATCCCATAGTTGGACCATCATGAGTTATGGCAACTGGCACGAGACCTTCTCATGGGCTTTAAGCCATCACGGGAGCATAATATTATCAAAACCATAACTTGTCCATAACATTAAACCAGAAAGTAACTATTGAAGGCATAGAACTACACTTGATTGTAAAAATAGGCATATCAATAAGAAAATCACAAAATTTGCGTATGACCCTTTTCCTCAAACTCTTATCCTGAACATTTTTAATGGTTATTTAAATCATTGGATTTTTTTAGGATCACTACATTTGGAGATTAGAGATGCAAGTGCACTACTTTTATACCATGGGATCTACAATTTACATCCCTAGGCTATGGGTGCTTCCCAAGTAACTTTTTAAGGACCAAATCTCACATGACCAGTTGAAACACTCACACGTAAAGATTGCTCACCCAAAATACAGATAATTTTACAACCCCAGCATACATTGAAGCAAATCAATTAAGGTCATTTAGCATGTGATGTCATATGCATAGAGGTAGATTGTTTTTTTCCCTTTCATTTGCCCCTTTATTTGTATTCTTCCCTCCGCTTCCCCTTTGCGTGCTCAGAGGTAGGACTGTCAAATGAGATGGGCGGCTCGGGCCTTGCTCGTTCATTTTGTAAAACGAGCCAAATATGCAAAAAAAAAGGCTTGTTTAGATATCGAGCCGAGCTCGAGCTCGAGCTCGAGCCCATGAGCCTAACCACACCCGTAATTTTACCCTAAAATATCTAAAATCCCCCCCCTTCTTGTAAGTTGGACACAACTATAATTCCTTTTAATTTTTTATTTTTTCTCAAAAAAATCACAGCCACACATACATATCCAATCTCTATCTCTATCTACGAAACTTACTTCTGGCAGCCTTCGGTTGAAAATTGAAATCAAACCCTTATCTTCTCTCTCTCTCTCTCTCTAACTCTCTTTCCCTCTCTCCAAAACTTGTCAAACTTTGAAACCAAACCCTTACCGGACTTTGAAACCCTAGATCCACCATCCAATGGCCTTGGCACCCATTGTTTGTTGTTCACAGAGGAAGAGTGAAATAGAGAGAGAAACAAGGACACACCACCGTCTGTCTCCTACCTCCCGCGGCTACGATTTTTCGTCTAGTCTTTTATGCAGGTTCTCTCTCTCTTTATGCATAGATTCATCAATATATAGGTCACTTTGTGTTTCTTCGTTTGTTTTGGGTATGTTAAGTTTAGAGAATTAACACAATTTTAGAGAGAAAACAAAAAGTGGTTAAAACTTAACCTAACTCTCATACATCACTTGTATTTATAGTTAACCTACAATAATAAGAATTACACATATACCCTCTTACTATTAACAATTTACACATATTACCCTACTATTCTTAACACTCCCCCTCAAGCTGAACTATATATATCATATAATCCAAGCTTGGATCAAATAGTTGTAAGACATGTACTGCTTAATGTTTTGGTAAACATATCTGCAAGCTGATTTTCAGATTTCACAAATGGAGTTGTAATCTCCCTAGCTACTATCTGGTCCAGAATAAAGTGACAATCAACCTCAATATGCTTGGTTCTCTCGTGAAACACAGGATTGACAGCGATATGGATAGTTGTCTGGTTGTCACAGAACAACTGTAAAGAAAGTTGAACTGAAAACCCAATTTCTTGGAGGAAGTATAGTAGTCAAGTCAACTCAATCGTCGTATGTGTCATTGCTCTATACTCAGCCTCAACACTGGATCTTGCTACCACGGGTTACTTCTTACTTTTTCACGATACAACATTACCTCCTAAGAAAGTATAATAACCAGTGGTTGATTTCCGATCAAAAGGAGAGTCAGCCCAATCAACATCTGAGAAACCTTCCACTCTAAGATGTCCATTAGCTCAATATAACAGTCCAAGTCCAGGAGCTCGTTTGAGATATTGCAGAATACGAGTAACTGCCTCCCAATGTGGTACTGTAGGACATCCCATGAACTGACTTACTATACTGACTACATAAGAAATATCCGATCGAGTAATAGTGAGATAATTAAGCTTCCCAACCAATCTGCTATATCGACCCGAATTCTCCAACAATGCACCATCATTCATCAATAATTTCTGATTCGGATCCATAGAAACATCAATCGGTCTATTACTTAGCAAACCTGCTTCCTCAAGCATGTAAAGTATATATTTCCTCTGAGATAAACAAATACTCTGTTTAGATCGAGTCACCTCAATACCCAAGAAATACCTAAATTTTCTCAAAACCTTAATATGAAATCGATCTTGTAAGAATATTTTTAACTTGGCAATCCCCTCAGAATCATTTTCAGTAATCATAATATCATCTACATAGACCACCAATATGACATATCCAGCATTTGTCTGTCTATGAAACACAGAATGATCTATCTGACATCGAAGAAGGTCAAACTCTAAAACTACATCTGAAAACTTACCAAACTATGCCCTCGGTAACTACTTCAAACCATACAAAGATTTTTTTAACCGACATATACTCTTACCATACTCCCCCTGAGCAGTAAACCCAGGTGGCTGCTCCATGTATACCTCTTCAACCAAGTCACCACTTAGGAAGGCATTCTTGATGTTTAACTGAAACAAGGGCCAATTAAGATTAGCAGCCAAAGAAATCAAGATACGAACAGAGAAAATTTTGGCAACAGGAGAAAAGTCTCCTCATAATCAACACCATAAGTCTGAGTAAAGCCCTTTGCAACAAGTCGGGCTTTGAGACACTCCACATAACCATCTGGACGAAATTTAACAGTATACACCCAATGACAGCCAGTAGTTCATTTACCAGGGGATAAAGGAACGAGATCTCAAGTCCCATTATGATGTAAAGCATCCATCTCCTCCTCCATAACTTTCCTCCAACCCGAATCAGATAATGCATCCTGTAAATGCTTAGAAATAGATATAGCAGATAATTGGGAAGTAAAGCAGGAGAAGACAGGAGACAAGACATTATATGAAACAAAATGAGAAATGGGATGATGAGTAAAACACGAACGAGTACCTTTACGAAGAGCAATAGGTAAAGAGCTAAATTACCTGATGTAACAGGATCAGAAGGCGACAACGAAGACGGTACGGACACCTCAGTCGATGGGCGAGGACGGCAAGAGTAGACACGGAGAGGTAAAGTAGATGGTAACACAGTGGACAACGGAATATCTGAAAATGAGAGAAGAGATGGTGGTACAAGAGATGACCTAAAGTCCATATCTAAAGGCTGAGAAGGTACTGACAAATATGGAATAAATTCCTCAAACGTGACATCGACACTAGTAAAGTATCGTCGCAGAGGACTGTAACAACGGTACCCCTTCTGTGTGCGGGAATAACCAAGAAATACACATTTGGTAGCTCGAGGGTCAAGTTTATCAAACCCAGGACCTAAATTGTGAACATAACAGACACATCCAAAAATCTTAGAAGCTAGGAAAAATAAGGGCTTACCAGAAAAAAAGACAGAATATAGACTTTGCCCATTTAACACAGAGGATGACATATGATTAATAAGGTAACAAACAATAAGAACAACATCACTCCAAAAATATCGAAGAATATTCATCTAAAATAACAGGGCACCGGTGACTTCCAACAAATAACGATTTTTGCGTTCAGCAACACCGTTCTGTGGAGATGTGTAAGTACAGGAAGTCTGATGAATAATGTCAGTTTTACTAAGATAAGCTGAAAAATGATCAGATTCATATTCCCGAACATTATCAGAACGTAAAATACGGATACGACAACCATACTGAGTTTTTATTTCCTTACGAAAAGTCTCAAATATAGAGAATAATTCAGACCAAGCTTTTATCAGAAACAACCAAGTCACACGAGAATAGTCATCCACAAACGACACAAAATAAGGATATTTATTAGATGAAATATTCTTTATTGGACCCCATACATCTGAATGTACCAACTCAAATAGACTAGACACACGATTATTGACTCTAGACTGAAATGACACACGATGATGCTTACTAAGTTGACAAACTTCACAAGACAAAGACGACACATAACTAAGACTGGGAATTTAGCACTTTAGATTTTGAAAAGAGGGATGTCCAAGACGACAATGCCACTAAAAAGGAGACAGCGAGGTCTGTAAAGCCCGAGTAGTTGAATCAAAATCAAAGTAATATAGTCCACCAACTTCATGCCCCGTACCAATCTTCCTCTTCGTCTGGAGATCCTGAAAGACACAATAAAAGGGATAAAAAGTTACAGAATAATTGTGAGAACAAGTAATTTTGCTAATGGAGAGTAAACTAAAAGAAAACTGAAGAACAAATAATACAGAAGATAGGGACATATCAGAACTCAAGTTAGTAGTCACCAAACCTGAAACTTGAGAACAAGTGTCATTAGCAAGAATAACACTACGTGTGGAAGTAGCAGACTGATAATAAAAAAAATATTAGACACACCAGTCATGTGGTCAGAAGCACCAGAGTCTATGATCCAAGGACTGTGATTGGAGGACAATAAACAAGTGAAAGTATTACCTGACTGGGCAAAAGTAGCAATGGAAGGAGATAAGACAACCTATTGCTGGTACAGGAACTGAGCATACTCCTCGTGTGTAATAATAACCAACCCTGTGTCTTGCTTGAGTTCCATAAGTGCAGCAAATAGAAAAGAGAAATCACTAGATCACTGAACCGGACAAGAATTACTTACTACACTGCTGAACTGAAGAAGAAAATGTTGCTGGATCACCAAACTGGACTGGAAAACCCAACTGGGAGCTGAACTAGACCAAAGAAACCCACTGGACTACTGAACCGGTCCAAATAAGCCCACTGGACCGCTGAACTGGACCAGAAAAGACTACTGGACCGCTGAACCGGACCAAAAAAGGCCACTGGACCGCTGAACCGGAGACAACACAAAAGGATCCTGCCTAAACTGGTCTAAAAATGACTAAACCGACCTAAAACTGACTGAACCAATCTAAACACTAATTGAACCGGATCTAAACATTGACTGAACCGGGTCACAGGTCCTCACTGGACCGCTTCTTCTTCGTCGATTAGGGTTTCGGTAAACCCTAACTTTGACTGCGCAGATCAACAAACCCAACTGAGATCAACCTCACAAATCAACACAGATCCGACGAACACACCATTCCGATGAAAATGAACACTTCGACTGCACCTTCATAACCACAACGAGCGATAGATCACCATGAAGACCACACCACCACAGCTACACCACCACAACCACACCATCACAACGAACACCAAATGATGATCAACAGTACCACACCACCACCAACAACGGCAAACAGTACACAACTACAACAACCGTATCACCACCACCACTGTAGCTTCAACGACTAATAGTCCTACCACCACAAATGGAGTTAATTTATTTTCAAAATATATTTAGGATTAAACTAGGCTCTGATACCATGTTAAATTTAAAGAATTAACACAATATTAGAGAGAAAACAGAGTAGTTAAAACTTAACCTAGCTCTCATACATCACTTGTATTTATAATTAACCTACAATAATAAGAATTACACATACACCCTCTTACTATTAACAATTTACACGTACTACCCTACTATTCTTAACAGGGTGTATTGCGTAAAACTAATATTGAAGCATATTTCATTCTGCTTGTTTGTTTCATTTGTAGGAGTCACTATAAAGCATATTTCTTTCATTTGTTTGGTTTACTCATTTTGGTCAAATTATAAATCTGCAAAAAATTTGTCTTTAATTTTTTAATTGTTTTCTCTTATTTAAGTGAGTATTTTTGTTGTATTAAGGATTGAACATCTATTATATGAGTTTCTGGTGTTAGAGTCTCTTCCACACTTTTTATTTTCCACAGTTGTTTTCTGCTAATTTAAGTGAGCCTTTTAGATTATTTCTATTGTATGAGTTTCTAGTGTTAGAGATTTGTTTTATTTCCTGTCTATGGGCCAAAGCAAGTTTATCTTTGGATTTGCAGAGTTTTTGGTGTTAGAGATTTCTAAGTATTTGTTGTATAAGTTTCTACTGTTAGAGATTTCTGAGTATTTGCTGCATTTGTTTTATAGTTATATGGCACATAACAATATGTCAACAAATGCCATGCAATCTACCCAACCACCAATTTGTATAGCGGATAATGTAGGCAAGGATGCTCAGATTGATGATTCTACTATTGAAGTTGATGATGCTATTGATGAAGAGACCCAACTGTTGATGGACCATTGCAAAGGAAATCAAAAGGAAAGATGTCAAAGGTATGGAATGATCTTACTAAATTTTATGAGAAAGGTGTAAGAAGGGCGAAATGTAACCATTGTCGCCAAGTTCTGTATCTTGATTAGAGGGGTACGACGAGTCATTTGAAAAGGCTTATAAAAATTTAAAACTATTCATTTGGCTGCTATTTCGGGTAAAAATAAGGGCCCAACTCAAAAGTTGTTGGCCCTAGAATCAATTGGTAGTGATAGGGTGTTTAGTAGTTTAACAACTTACAAGTATAATAAAGAGAAGGTGAGAGAATTATTTGCAAAGATGGTCATAGTTCATGAGTATTCTTTTAGGATGGTGGAACATGAATATTTTTTTATTGCTGCTCAAAATGCTTAACCCTTGTTTTGAGCTAGTAAAGAGACTAACTTTGAAAAGTAATTGCATAAAAATCTTTGGAAGTGAGAAAAAGAAGTTAAAGTTGATGTTAGCTAGTATTGATCAAATTAGCTTAACTTCTGATTTGTGGACCTCAAATCAAAAAATTGGATACATGCATCTCATTGGTCACTTTTTAGATTTGAATTGGAACTTAAAAAAGCGCATATTGAATTTCTATTGCTTACCACCTCCCCACATAGGAGTTGCAATTGTCGATAGTATCTCTCAGTATTTACTGAATTAGGGTATTGAAAATACGGTGTCAACCATTACACTAGATAATACAACTGCAAATGACACAGCGATAAGAAACTTGAGAGATACTTATGCAATTCAGGGAAAGCTTTATTGTAGTGATAAAATATTTCATGTTCGTTGTTGTGCACGTCTTAAATTTGATGGTTCAAGATGATTTTGGTGAGATATGGGATGTTGTTGAAAATGTACGTGAGTTTTAAGTATCTAAAGATGTCCCCTTCGTGGCTTCATAAGTTCACAGGAATTGCAAAACAATTGCAATTGTCAACATTCTAAGCGGTTGATTCTTGATGTGCCTACTCGTTGGAATTCAACTTATGAAATGTTAGAATCAATGTTACCTGGATCATGGGTCGCTTTGGTACGTGATACAGGTACGGGTACATGGTACGACACTTTCTTAGGTACGTGGTACGATGGGAGTAGGTTTAGCTGATACGGTATTTTAGGTCGCAATTTATTTTGGAACTCTTATGTAGATCATTTTCAGTACTATACAACATTATATACTGCAAAACATTTATAAACACTAAGTTAATTACCATTTATCTTATAATTGTACTTGATTTTCTATTATTTAAAACAATATATAATTATAAATTTATATACATGTAGTCAATTAATATGTATTTTATATTTGTGCTACATGTTATAAAGCGAATTGATTTAGGGTTAGTATTGTAATTTGGGGTCGTCAATTTTAATGATTTGGATCGTAGGTCGTTAAAGGTTTAGTGAATTGTGATAACCATGGATAAAATCTGCACTTTGGGTTCAAAGATGTGTTTCCAAGGTATAAGGAAAGGGATCCTTATTATAAATGGTTGCCATCTAAAGAGGATTAAGCAAGAGCTACACAAGTTTGCAAGATTTTAGAAATTTTAATGATGCCAATATGCCACTCATGGGTTATAAGGATGTTCTTATCCTACTTCTAATTTGTTCATTGCCGAAATTTAGAAAATAAAGCAAACATTGATTGAGAAGTCTCTAGATAGTAGAGATTACATAATGCGTATGATTGATAGGAAGAATGAGAAATTTGATAAGTATTGGGAAGATTGTAACTTATTGATGGCAATGTCAGCAATTTTAGATCCTCGATATAAAATTAAACTTGTTGAATTTTGCTTTCAAAAAATTTATCCATCCGATGAAATGGTACATAATATAGATGTTGTTCTTAATGCTTTATATGATCTCTACGAAGAATATGTCTCTAATGATTCAATGGCAAGTACTTCATATAGTAAGAACAATTTTGTTAGGGGCACCAGGAGCTTTAAGAGAAAACTAAAAGTAGGAGTGAATTTGAAATGTGGGTCAAACAATTGGATATTATGCAACTAACAAAGTCTAAAATGGACACATATCTTGAAGAAAGAATTTACATTCATAGTTATGACATGGAGGATGAGTTTGATGCTTTGATTGGTGGAAAACAAATACACTCAAGTTTCGCAATTTGTCAAAAATGGCTCGTGACATATTGTCCATTCCTGTCACCACGGTAGCTTCTGAGTCTGCTTTTATCAATATCGAAGTTCACTAAAGCCTGAGACAGTTGAAGGCTTGAAGCTTTGATATGTACTGTTGATTGGTTGCGTCATGATTTTGGGATTAGTATATCATCAAAGGTAAATACACTAAATTGCCGCTAGCATTCTTTTTTTAGTATTTATCTCAAAGGTATATGTTATAACCTGCTTTGTTGTGATCGATTTGTACGTTGATTATCAGGAGTTTATGCATTAACTGGAAGGTTGCAAAAAAGATGTTTTGTTGCTGTTTTTGGGGCTGCTTATATGCTGTTTCTGTGCTGTACTGGGGCTGCTGTGATGTTGGAGGTGCTGTTGTTTTGTTGTCCATGTTGCCCCTGAAGTGCTGCTGTTTGTGCTGTTGGAGTACTGGATTTATTAAAACATTAGGGTGGTTTATGTGCTTATTTTCATTTTGAGTAATGGATGCTTATTTGGATGTTTATTAGGATGTTTATGTGCTTATTTTCATTTCGAGTATTGGATGTCTATTAGGATGTTTATGTGCTTATTTTCATTTGGAGTATGCAATGTTTATTAGGATCTTTTTGTGATTATTATTTTCATTTATGTGCTTATTAGAATTGGTTTGTAATATTAGGATGAATGCAAAGACTAACAGGTTACAGATTACAAAATTCGAGCCCGAAAACGAGCTTAAGCTCAAACTCAGGCTTGTTGGAAAGAACAAGCTTAAACTCTTATACAGGCTCATTGGGAAAAACGAGCTTCAACAAGCCGAGCTTGGGCTTGACATTTTTTTTTCTGACCCGAGCTTGAGCCTAAAACAAAGCTCAATGATCGAGCCCGAGCCTCTTCCAAAATTAACATGCCGAGCCTGAGCACAATGAAGTTCGCTAGGCTCGGCTCAATTATCACCCCTACTCACAAGTAATAAAAAATTGCTTACCTACAAAGAGGAACCTTACAACAATCAGGCTCATTGCACATGCCGGAATGCAATTCAAGAAGTTGCCACATGCGCTTGCAATGTAAACATCCACCAGGTACTCGGGTCTTACAGCCAGAAAAATGGCGTACTAGAATCTCGATCCCTTTGCAAGCAGGGAAACCACAAGCAACCTGGCTTCCTTTCAGCATTTTGTCACGGGGCCCAATTGTCCTACAACCGTCCCTGCAGATGTGAAGCAAGGCTTCCATCGCTTCATGCAGTTGCAAATAAACCTTCCTCTCTTCAGTTTTCCTCAACCTCTCTTGTGTTCTCTGAAACAAAGAAATGAGACTAAGATACCAATTTCTAGTATCAAACCAAAGGAAAAGGAAGTAACTTTACTCTTGTAGCGAAAAAAAACCAACCAAAATGATACTTAGTCCCCATGTTGGTCATGAGACCAATACTATATATAATTGATGCACAAATATTTGACATTCTATATGTAATGTTTTTGGAACAGTGTATAAACTTGGCTACCGGAAAAATCTTCTTCATGATACACAAGAGAGTCAAATGACAAAGGAATGTGTCCTTATGATACTCATCATAATACCAAAAATGTCAATATGGATTCAGGAATTATTTATTCCACCAAAGAACTTACCAGCTAATTCGGGGATTACAGCTAATTCAGCTGAAATTTGGTTACACATACACATCGAAAATCTCAAGTCTGTATAAGTAAACCTATTCGATAAAGAAAGTCTCCAGCGGTTATTTAGCTCCACAAAATCTTGTGTCAGACCCAAAGCTGATATTGTGCATGCATCCATCAGATCCCTTGCAGAAGAATTTTATATAAAGCAGAAGTGCTTGGTTTTTAAAGCCAATAAACAGACAGCATGCATAACAATCTACAAGCAAAAGTTCTACCTTGTTCTGTTATGTTTGTTACACTGTCCTTTCACATGTGACAAAACTAAAACATGAGTAGGGCTTTCAAAACCGTGTACAAGCAATGAACATGCTGCACCCCTGAACCCCCGGGAGTGTCAACGAAAAAAGAAACAGTTATGGACTTACAGAATCTGCTTCAACAACGGACTCCAGAAGCTCCTGTTCAAGTGGAGGATTAGTTCGTTTCATAACTTTCCATCCTTCAGTTGAAGATATGGTTTTAAACTCCCTCACAACCATACGAGTACAAATGAGAGAGAGCCTCCATGCATCACAACTCCTAGCTAACTGAAGCACATCTATCACATTTTCGCAAGTCAGCCAACCCTGCTCCAAAATGTGTATACAGAGTCTTTTAAGCGACGGTACTAAGTAAGAATGTGATAAAACCAATAAATGGAGAACAAACTTCTTCATATCTTCTTCTTCATAGCTGCACTAGAAACAAAAAAAGATACATAAGTTTGAGCATTCATTCAGAATAGTTAGAAAGATAGAAAAACTCAATTTGGGATATAGGCACTAAACCATTGGCGAATCTAGCTGCCCCCACTGCAATTTTTAAAACATGTAGGGTATATTTAGAATTCCAAAAAATTTAAGACATTGCCCCCAGTGGAATATTATAAAAGTTTATGGGTAATTTTGTATTTTACAAACAAGGTGTGCCATCTTGTCTTTTGTCCTTGAAACAAAAATTTGGTTAATTATAAACAAATTTGAATAGACAGCCAGATTAGGCGATAGGCTAACACGAGTCAATTTGGATCACATTCAATTTCTTTTTTCCAAGGATGACAAAATATTTTTTTATTTAGATAAATATGAGAAGCTATTTTTTTGGGATTTTACAGTTGATTTTGAATTAAAATAACCGATTTTAATATTTAGGATCGATTTCAAGTATCTCAAAAATTATAATTTGACCCCAAAAAATTGTTACTTTAATCATATAAGTTGTAACATGACTCATAAAAGTTATAATTTTTATAGAATTTGTTTTTTTTTTTTTTTTCTTTTTTTGTAAAAAAACCCAACAATTTATATCACAACCCACAAGACTTATAAATTCCACCACCATAGCACCTTTGATATCAAAGTTGAATTCCAACTCTAAACATCATCCATAAACATGATACAAAATTAACGAATAATTTAAGTTGCCCCCACAACCAAAAAAGTTTGGCTCCGTCCCTACACTAAACCACAAGTCTACCAGACTATTCAAAAGACCTATCCTTCCTTCTATTTCAAAAGGTGCATAAACGTTATTTAAGCTTGGCTCAGTATTAAACATTACTGAAGTGAAAAAATCCATACACGCCATCTAATTTTGGTTGAATAGCATAGGTATCAACTATCAATAGATATCACCCAAAAATAAAAGAAGTCACATACTTGAATGAGCTGAGAAAGGCCAAGAAATTTTTTCATACCCACATTGGGGGTTTTTTTTTGTGGGGGGGCGTCTTTTAGGACCTTTCAGGAGTCAGCTGATTGTTACGGAAGAACCAACCACAACTAAAACAAAAGCCATGCTGACTACGGTTATGAAAATTGCCTCGATTAATTTTTTTAAACAAAATATTCACCAGCAATCCTAGGACGTGGAGGTCAGTCTCATTCAAATTACTTAGTCATACCATCTCATTTCACCTTTTGAGCAAATGCACATTTTTATCAGCCAATGGTGGTTTACTACCAGCCACCAAATTCCTCACACTTAGAATTGATTACTCCCAAATTTAAGATACAGAGGCACAACATTATTGGGACTCCTTCAGGTTGGCCAGCTGGATACAATATAATGACGGAACAACCTAATTTTCCAAAATATTCAATACTCATGGTGCATAATATAATTATATAAATGCATGACCTAAAGGAGGATCTTTACCTATGAAGCATGAATTCAATCGGGGTGGACGTATCCGTATCCGATATGTATCAGATACCGATAGTAGTCGAATACGTGTAGGATACTTTCCGCACGTATGGAATAATTAATGAATATTTATCATTGTTGGATACTAGTCGGATACACCTTTTTTTTTTTTTTGAAAGGTACGTGTATTTCTACAATGAATACATTCGCCTTATACTTAGTGAGGTGGTTGTTTAAAAACCGTGAATCATATAAATGGGGATTCATCATTTTAAGATGTTTGTTTGGATATGAATAATGAATTTTTATGGCTTATGTTAAAGCCAATGAAGTCTATTGCAATTAAATGATAAGTAACAGATGAGGACTCTCAAAGGGTGACACGTCTTCAACTTTAGAATTACATAAAATCTTGAATTTAAAACACCATTATCCAGTCCAATGTCAATAACATAAATTATTTAGTTTGGATGTGTTTTATTTCTTAATCTCTCATATCCTAGTGTTGTAATAACATTCTAATACATACATACATACACACATATATACATACATACATATATATCTGTATATATGTATGTGTGTATGTGCCACATCATTATATCCGTAACATGTCATACCCATATTCCTCATCCGTATCCATACTTCCTACATCTCTACAGTAAGTACATGGATGAACTAATTACAAATTTGGTGGTCTTCGGCAAGCTTACCATATCATTCCTTAGATTTTAGAAAACATTGGCGTTCGTACCACTTTTGTAGTACAGAAAAATAAAACTCAAAAAAAATGGAAATATATGAACAGAGAGACTTCAACATTACCAGGATGAGTACAGAAAACGTACAAAAGCGCTGACAGCTTCACAAGGTACCCCCGGAATCTTTACATATCTGATACCATTTTTAACTATCGATTGCTGGAGAAAATTTCCCAGTACTGGTGATGCAACACTCTGCACAAATATGAAAAATGTGATAAGCAATTTGGTATCCATGCCGATAAAAATTCCCATCAAATCACAGTAACTTCCCAGCAGAGACTCTACTACCACACATTGGACCTTTCATATGGTCAACTTAAATTACAACAGCCCTTTTTGCCTTACTACTAACAGAAATGCAAAAGGGATCATCATGCCTCACAAATCCCAAAATGCTTTAGTCTACAACGCCCAAAAATTCGTAATAATTTCTACGGAAGTGAAAATTATAAAGATTGCAAAAAGGGTAACGGTTCAAATGAAAATCTAAAGGTCGATCAGCCTATAATGAAATTGCATGAAATAAAAATATTACGAGGAATAAAGGCAAACTACATATACTGACCAGAACACTGTAATGAGCTGAAATGGTCGCCTTGTTTTCTGTTATTATACATACATCTGCTCCATATCCTTCTCTATATAGCCTGTCCCATGTATCTTTTGCTTCCTTTGGAACAAAGCAAGAGTCTGCAGGCCATGCAGGATTATTGGGTCTCTCACCAGTTTTACAAGGAAGCGGAGGTGGTTTTGGTATATCCAGCTTGTTGCACAACGCAGTGGCAGGAACCTCAAGCCAATCTAAACTATCTCCTGAATTCCCTTCTTCTATGAGTATATTAAAACATCCATCAAAGATTTCGACTGTTTGGGATGGCCAGGGAGAACCAAGATCCAGTGAAGCCATCAACTGTCAGTGTATTTGAATACTCAACAAGAAACTTTCTGGAAAATATGTGTAGGGAAAAAAAGAAGTCATTAATCTTGCTAACAAAATTTAATAACAAATTGTGATTTCGGTGTCCCCTACAAAGATGCAATCACGTACGCATCAAAGACTACTTCAAATAAACAGGTTGCATACAAGGTATCTCAATCAAGCACAAAAAGTCAGGATTTCCTATTTATAAGGTATCCTAATCCATTCCTATTATAAGGTATCTTAATCCATAAGAACAAACCAGACTAGAAAAACCTGTAGTACCAAGCAGGAAAGTAACACCAAACAAAACCCTGGACAAATAATTGCTTGCCTAATAAAAAACACAATCAAGTTGGCCCATGGGAGAAACTAAGAACTCCTTCCTGAAGTTAGAAGCTTCCTCCATGCCTATACTTATCAGCTCCCAGGAGCCTTAAGTTTTTAATACATAAACCAAGAACACGCACAAGACTTGTAAGACTCCCATGTGTAGTATGTATAATACAAAGGAATGAAACGGTAAAACAAATAGTTGTCTTAACCTAACCAAGAACCAATGGATATAATACACCTCATTGTTCATTGTCCCATATATAAAAATTATCATCTTCACCAACTTCAAGATAAAATTACATGTGCTCATATGGAGGTCCCCTATAACATTTAGAAGAGGAAACAAAAATAAAAAAAAATAAAAAAATAAAAAATAACATTTAGAAGAGGAATATATATCAGTCAAAGGGATACTCAAACTAAGAGTAGAGCCCCCTATATATAGTCAAATAATATTATAAAGTGACCCAAACACCCTTGTGATCTACGCAAAATATAAAAGTCATAGTAAGGGTAAAAAAAGGGAAAAAAAATCCTAATAAACTAGACTATACTCCAACACTCCCTTTCAAACTAGGCACAAAAATATCAACTAAGCCAAATTTGACAACAGAGTCCTAAAAAATGGATAAAGTAACAGATTTGGTGAAAACATCCACAACCTGATCATTGGTCTCCACAAACAATAGAGTGATAATACCACAGTTAACCTTCTCCCGAAGAAAGTGAGCATCGACCTCTATATGCTTCATTCTCTCGTGTAGTACAGAGTCAGAAGTGAGCTAAATAGCAGATTGATTATCACAATATAATGTAGATGAAGAAGTCACTGGAGATCCCAACTCGCCAAGAATCAATCGTAGCTAGATAGTCTCACATGTGTCAAGTGCTAATACCTGATACTCTGCATCTGTTGACGAACGAGACACAACTGATTGCTTCTTGCTCTTCCAAGAGATTGGATAAACCCCTCGAAAAACACAAAAGCCTATAGTAGATCGACCGTTACACGCTCCCCCATAATCTAAATCTGAATAACAGGTTAGAGAACCATTCTGAGATCCTAATGCATAGACCAACCCAAGTCCAGGCCAACAAGGCTTGAGGTACTAAAGAATATGATAAATTGCACCAAGATGAGGCTGACACGGCCTGTGCATGAACTGACTAACTCGGCTGACAACGAATGAAATGTCTGACTTTGTGTTGACTAGGCAGATAAGTCTACCTACCAACCTCTAATAGACAGTCGAATCACTCAACTCTCCACCTTCAATATTAAGCTTTAGGTTTGGAATCATAGGTGATGATGCCGGTTTTCACCCTAGCATCCCAGTGTCCGATAGAAGATCCAGAACCAATTTCCTCTGAGAAAGAACAATACCACTATAGCTAGGTGCAATCCCAATCCCAAGAAAGTATTACAAAAATCTAAGATCCTTCACATCGAAGGTCTTTCCAAGGTTTACCTTGACTTGTGCAATCCCATAAATATCATCTCCAGTAATAATAATATTATCCACATATACCGAAAGAATGACACATTGCCCAAAAATATTTTGTTGAATAAAACATATATGATTAGAATGACATCTGGTGAACCCTAAACATACAACTACACCACTAAACTGAGAGAACTAGGCTCGTGGTGACTGTTTCAGTCCATCAAAAAACTTATGCAATCGACACACCTTCCCAGCATACTCCCTCTCACCACAAAATCTTGGTAGTGCATCCATATAAATAATCTCGTCCAAATCACTGTGAAGAAACGTATTCTTCACATCTAACTGATGAAAAAACCAAGAGTACTCTACAATTGGAGAAATAACCAACCAAACAGTAGTTAATTTTATCACGGCAGCAAAGGTAGCACCAAAATCACAACCTGGTACCTGAGTAAAGCCTTTTGCCACAAATCTAGCCTTATGACGATCAATAATACCATCCGTAAGAAATTTCAGGGTGTAAACCCAGCAACAGCCAACAGGTTTCACCCCTGAAGGAAAAGAAACAAAATCTTACGTATAATTACGTTAAAGAGCGTCCATCTCCGTTTGCATGACAAGAACCCACTAGAGCTCCCAAATAGCCTCTGAAATAAAACGAAAAATCGGCGTATCTAATAAGGTCATACTATAAGTTCAAAATGTAAGAGACAGATTACCATAAGAAACATAAACAGAGATCGGAAATAAATTCCTGGTGGTCTAAACATAACGAACAACTGGACGGCGATCACGTTGTGGATAACGGCACCTTAAATCATCATCCTCCACTAACAATGTCTCATCAGGGAAAGTAACTGGCTTTGTACCTGTAATTTCTTCAATACTAACATGTGCATCAATATGCTCAACGAACTGAAAAGTATTACTTGTATCGCCTGAGGTAGAGGGGACATTAACAGAGGGATAAGAGCAAAGGCGATGAACATAAACCTGCAAAAAAAGAGAGATCAGTGACTCTATACTAATAGGGACGAGTGGCTCTAGAGGAGGAGAGACTAATAACTTTGTAATGATAGTGACCAATAGCTCTGACTTCTGTAATAACGAAAAATCAAAGAGAATATCATCAACTATAGGGGCAGATAAAGGACTGAAAAAATAATAAGAAATATGCTCAAGAAAGGTAACATGTAGACTGTGATACATACAACACCTGATAGGATCATAATACCGATACCTCTTAAACTGATGACAATAACCCACAAAGACACAACAAATTACTTTATCATCAAGCTTATGGCGAGTAGGAGACCGATCCTGAACAAAACATGTGCACCCAAAAAATGAGAAAAGACCGAAAAAAATGTTTGCTCAGGGAATAAGACTTGTAAGAGAGTCCTATGCTAAAGAACACAACTCAGTGTACGATTGCACAGAAAAGTATAAGTCAAAATAGCAAAATGCCAATAAAATTTTGGTACCCCCATACCCCTAAGTATACAACATACCATCCCTATTAGACTCCTATTTTCCTTTCAGTAACTCCATTTTACTCAGGAGTATACATACAAGTTGCTGAAGGATATCTTAAAAGGAAAGGTGAGACACTAAGACATCAGACACATATTTTTTGGCATTATCTGAACGAATAGCACAAACAATGACATTGAATTGTGTCTTAACCATCAAGAAAAATTGAGTGATGACAAAGAATACATCAGACTTCTTATGCAAGAGGTAAATACAAGTATAATGGGTATGATCATCTATAAATATCACATAGTATCGAACACCAGACAGAGCAGTAATAAGAGAAGGTCCCCAAATATCAGAGTGTATTAGGTTAAATGACTTAGATGACTAGTGCATGCGAGGAATATAATTGATCTGAACATATTTCGATAGGGAACATATAACATATTCAAGTTTACCACCAACACAAACATTGCTCAAAATAGGAAATAACATACATAAATATTTAAAATTTGTATGTCCAAAACGGTCATACCACAACTGAACAGTTTGTGATGAAAAATCATAACGACAAGTACTAGATAAAATACTAACATGCAAACTAGGAATAGATAAAAACAAAATAGGTGTAGGTGATGGAGGTAGAGAAACTAGTGAAACTGGAGGTAGATCGCTTAGATAATACAGTTCATATCCCTCATGTACCCTGATAATAATCCTCTTAGTACTCAGGTCCTACAAATAATACGAATCAGATAAAAACACAACCGCACAGTGAAAATCTCTGGCTAATTGATATACGAAAAATAGATTATTGGTCAGCTTTAGCGCATGAAAAATCGAATGTAATGTAAAGTCATTTGGAAGGCAAACTATACCCCTACTAACAATAGGGGCATGTGTCACATCTGCTAGTTGAACCTGTTTATGTAATTGCTCGTCAAAAATGGTGAAATGATGGATCTCACTTGTTATATGACCATTTGCACCCGCGTCCAGCATCCAAAGGGGAGACGGACTGACGCAAACATGAAAGGCACGAGGTATATATGTAATGGTGGCGGTGGCAGTAGCAGTAGTTGAACTCTGAGAAGTCAGGACGGTCATAAGTATATCCAATAGGAAAATAATAGCATTCATATCACTCTGCCAAGGAGGAGCAGTAAGAGCAGCAACAAAAGCAGTGGCAGTAGGTGATGGTACCTTAACAATAAGAACAGTACGACAGCGAGGAGGTGGTTTAAGCTCCTGATAGAGATTCCAGCAAGCAGCCCTGAAACGTCCTGGTTGACCACAATAATCTCACAAACGAGAATCCTCTTATTTGTGCTGATTTAGGGCGCCCTGACGCCGCTAGTCCAAGTGTTGTCCACCTCTGGTTAAGGATCCTGAACCAGACCTTACAACAACTGCAAAGGTCATCTGGTCGGTTGGATGAGCCATAGCCACAACTGAAAGTGATGCAATATAGACGCGACACTTATGCTGCTCAATCATCGCATACACCTCATAAAGAGGCAGAAGCCTCATCATTAACAAGATATGTAAACAAGGTCCCTTATACTCATCACGAAGCCCCATAAAAAAGTTGTGAATTCTATCCTCCTACTCTTGAATATGCAGAAATGCCGCTCCCTCGAACTCTATCCTCAAAATAGCAAAAAGACATAAAATCTCATACTCAAGCCAGTGCTGGGTCAAATAGTCATAATAATCCTAAACTGTCGTATCTCTCTGTTGAGCAAATGAGAGCTCTTGAGAGAACACATAAATATGAACTCCTCGTTCTAATTGGAAATACATCTCTGATAATACACTCTATAGCTGTAGAACAAAACTATGAAACTAGTGAATCTTGCAAATAGAGAGCTCCATCAAACTAAATAACCATCCAAGGATAGCGCAGTTCTCAGAAAACTACGCAAAATATTTAGGATCGTCAAAAATTGACTTTGGGTGAATCCCGTTAACGAACCAAACTTCCCTATACGGCCTAAGAAAAGCTAGAATGAGCGTGACCACTCAGCATAATTACGGTCATTCAACAGCTGTGTCATAACCTTCTGAGAGATCATATCCGACATTGCCGATAATGCAACTATGTCAATAAGTACAGTATACTGGTCAAACATAAAAATGAGAGAACCAAGTGGTACATTTCATGTGAAAGTACTAACAGTAGAGGTCTCAACCGTAGAGGTCTCAACGGTAGGAGTCTCAAGTTCCTCGGTAGTAGCCATAGCAATAACAATAAGTGGACACCCGTGACAAAAAAAAACTTCAAGATAAATAGAGAGACAAAATAAGGAAGAATAATATACCTACAGTCGAACAGTAGCAACAAATAAAAAGGTCCAGAAAGCTCCTAAATAATCAGATCACGATGCCTAAAAATTTAGTAAATATATAATTAATC